CATTCAGCTTTTTTGTTTTGTTTGTTTCTTAAAAATGTGTTGTGCAATTTTTTTTCTGTTTTTTCGGGGTGTGGGAGGATCAATCAAACTTGGTACTAACATGATGGCGTAACAGGGTAACTGGTCTAACCTGGTTAACTGCTCTAATATCTGCACAGAGGCCTGAGCGTCTGAGCCACTGTGCTGTATATGTATTATTTCTATTGCTCAGCAACAGAAATAACATGCGTTGTTTCTTGTTTCTGATAAGTAGGTAAAATTCTTTTCTTTTTTCTATAGTCTATTCGTTTCAACTTCATTTTAACTTTGTCAGCACAGTGTTTTTGCTATTTGTGGGTAAATCCCATGCCAGCTGTAGCAGCTAGAGGGCAGAAGGGCAGTGTCATCTAAGCTGATGCTTACAAAGCTCTGAGGACCTTTACTGAGGTACTAATACTTTTGTGTTTCTCAACTGCGTATTCAGGTGACTTTGACTTTTGAAGAGCACCTTGTCTACCAATCAGAAGGCTGGTGGAATGATCCCTGAGCCCTTTAGTCTGCATGAAGTGATCCTGGGAAACATGGAAGCCTTCATTTTCTAACATCCACGTCTTTTATCCTGTGCAAGACGCACATGCAACATTACAGTCAAATTTATTAAATGTGTGCACTTGGCTATTATGTATACCATCAGTATTGATTGATTGGTAATTTATTTCAACATGTGAACAATATACAAGTACATTTAGAAAAGAAATAAGAGAGAGAAAAAAATACTATACAAATTACATACAAAAAAACATTCTGATTAATTTACATGTTGAAAGGGAGTGGGAAGAAGTATACACTTATTTAATCCCACCCCTGTCCCATAAATTATCAGTGAATATTTAGTCAGCTTCCTTGCTGATATAATTTGTAATAAAAATAGTGAACAGATTTCTGATATACTATATACTATAATATCACATCATGAATTTTTTGTTTGTTTGTTTTTAAATAGAGACATTTACTTAATTTAAATATTTTCCTTTTCTTTATAGATCGAGAAGATCATATTTTTATAACTCTTTGCTTTAATTCCATATTCAGTTTGTTCCATAGTTTCACTCCTTGAACAGAAACACAAAAGCCTTTTCTTGTAGTACGTACCTTCATTGTTTTGAAGTTACAAAAACCCCTTAAATTATAACTTCCTTTTTTAAAAAAAAACATACTCTGAATATTACCTGGCAGTTCTTTATTTTTTGCTTTGAATAGTATACTGCCTTTCCCCATATCTGTGTACAAGGATATATACTGACCTCCAGCTGAACTAGAGAAACTAGGGAAAAAACACATTTGGACATGAAAATTGTTATGAAAAAATACCAACAGCCTGCAAGAGACAGAAGAAAGCGAGTGGAGGACAAGGAGCACGGTCCTCCACTTGCTTGCTGGGTATGAGAAACTCACTGCAATGAGAAAAAAAAAGAACAAAATGCAAATACTCCATCATCCACGGGACAGTGCCAAGAAACTGGACTGTAAGTGGTGACACCCAGCAGTGATAGAAGTCACCGTTAATGAAAGATACAGTGACATAACGAATATTGGAATATGTTTAAATTAACAAGCTATGGCCTACATTTTCCCATTTTAATGTTTTCTTGAAATTTAATTTATTTATCTGTTTATTTCATTTTTTAATTGTGATTATGAGCATTTTGCAGCCTATGGTAGTTTGGAAAACTGTAAATAATGACCTTCGGTTTAAAGATTTGTGCGTGCTCAACTACAGCCATCTAGTGGCTACTTGAGATAGTGTAAATGTTTGAACCCAGACTGCCATATTTCATTTTGAAAGCCCTCATCCTTTCAAAACTGTGCTTTCATTTAGACTCTTGAGATTCACTGTGCACAGTGATCACCACAGTCAGTCTACAGACTTTGTGAAATGGCTTTAAAGTGAAGCATAACACATTTTCTGTCCAGTTTTTAGTCTATATTTTTTTAATGAGTGGAACAACCTTAAATAAGATTAGAGAAGATATATCTTATTTAAGATATTATCTAAGATTGTATATTTTACAGTTCTTTACAAAGAATAAATATTTAACAACTGTTAAAAGGAAGGTGGTTGTAGTGAATTGGGGTTTGCAGAAGCTCTTTTCACCATTACAAAACAATGCAATACAACTGTGAGGCAACAGTTGTTGTGAACCGTCATCATATAAACTGAACTGAACTGCTGCCCATCGTCTTCAACGCAACAGTAGTTTTTATCACCACTTAGCTACCTTTCAAAAACAGCCCAGCAAGCTTTAAACACAACACTGCTGTTGATTCTGTTCTTCTGGACGTAGCGTTTTCAGAGGGAGAAACGTTTCATCACTCATCTAAGGGGCTTCTTCAGTCTCAGCTGACTGCAGGCTTCCCCAACCTTACAAGCAGTACATTTGCACAATGACTGAAACCAGCCCACTGAAGGAACAATGGGCTGTGAGGTCAGTTTTATAATCATTAATATGCAAATTCTCATGACCACTGATCAACAGCCACTGATCAAAGCTAATTGATTACTGACATGCAATGAGCAATGTCAGTATTTATAATCTCTTCTTTGCTTGTTAGCTTGCTTTTAACTTCGCTAAACAGCTACCCGATGATTCAAAAGAGTTTTTAAAAATCAAAACTGAGTTATTAAGTGTATGGTCATTCTGTGCTCTTTCTTCTGTCTGTACCTCCACCAGGGGTCTGATACCTGACACAGAGCCCAATCCTAACAGCTCTTATAGTTGTCAGTATGAGGCTGCTGTCACCAGTTTCCTCTGTGGTTTGTTTTTATGCAGTGTTGAAGCATCTAACTGGTTGCAGGAGGGACAAAATGGGCTCTGATTGTTACTGGCCTGCCGTCCACTGAGGGCTTCATCACAGCGACTCTGTTTTTGCATTCTAAGGCACTGTTTGGTCTGCTTTGTTAGAAATAAGCACAACCATTTCCGCCCCTGAATGTGACTCATGATTTTTATTTTGTCCAGGTAAAGGCAGAGAGTATGACTGTGCATGACCAAATGAAGTCTGTTTTCACAATCTGGAGGCAGTTCTTTCTCAGAATCATATAAACATTTCAAACTGTTTTTATTGATGTGACTGTCTGAGTTTGATGCTGTGTGGTGCATTCGAGTGCAGTGTTAACAGAATATATATTTATATATTAAGATATGTGTATCATGGTAATAAACATTTACACAATTGACATTTTTATCTATGTTATTTACAAAATCAGACTGAGTAAAGAATGGCCAGCAGCACAATTCTGTACTTTTCTTTTTTGCCAAGTGAGCGTCTTATTGATGCTTTATTAGGAGCAGGACCACCAGGTTTGTACACAATGTTAAACAGGTATCACAAGCAAGTTTTCAGTTGTTAAGGGGTGAGATATACACATCAGACAGCAAACGAATGGTCAGTTCTTAAAGATGATGTGTTGAAAACAGAAACAATGAGCCGATCTGTGAGGGCTACATGAGCGATTCAGAGCACAGCAGCAGGTTATACAGAATGCTCGCAGAATACAGAGGCGATGAGCTGCAAACCGCTAAAACAAATTGTGGTGATCCCATCTGCCCAACCATCTTCTTATTTGTAATTTCTTTAAGTAGTCTTCAGGAATAGTTCCCCTGGAGAACTTAAAGATCGTCTTTGGATGGTGGCTGACTTTTATTCTACTCTCTGTCAAGATGATCCCACACTGCCTCAGTAAGGTTGAGGCTCCAGGGAAGGCCAATCCATGACTGATGATGACCTTAAGAATGTCTTCTGGAAAGCCACCCTTTCACTGAGACCATTTCTGATGAGGCTTCCCTGAACAGTAGGTGGTTCAACCGAAGGGCCAGATGCATGTTTTGGGTCTTTGCTGGATTTTTTCCACAGCTTTTGCTGTTCCAAAAACATCTTGCTTTTAAAGATCAGCTCTATAAATTCTCTCTGTTCTTGTTTTGTTTATGTATAAACAAATATTTGTTTATTCTAGTCATGCTATTTAAAGCTTTTACATTACATGTGGTGTGTGTGTGTGTGGGGGGGGGGGGGTATAATTAAATGACAGAGTACAAATAAAAATTTGTAATGTATGGATGTATATAATACCTAGAACACACAAATTCAAAAATGCACAGATACAAAAATCATATCTTATTGTGGTGTGTATGTGTGTGAGAGAGAAACAGAAAGAGTGTGAGTGTGTGTCTTTGTAATGAAATTCACTTAAAAATGTCAGGAGACAGACACTAAGATTAGGCTTAAAACTCTCCTTTTTGCTAAAGCACAGTTAGGGCTGGATCAGGTGACCCTGAATCCTCCCTTAGTTTTGCTGCAATAGCTGTAGACTGCTGGGAATTCCCATGATGCATTGAGTATTTGTTCTTCAGTTACCTTTCTCACTCACTATGTGTTAATAGACCTCTGCACTGAATCATATTTGTTATTAATCTCTGTCTCTCTTCCACAGCATGTCTTTATCCTGTCTTCCTTCTCTTCCCCACAGATGGCCCCGCCCCTCCCTGAGCCTGGTTCTGCTGGAGGTTTCTTCCTGTTAAAAGGGATTTTTTCCTTCCCACTGTCACCAAAGTGCTTGCTCATAGAGGGTCATATGATTATTGGGTTTTTCCTCTGTATGTGTTATTATAGGGTCTACCTTACAATATAAAGCGACTTGAGGTGACTATTGTTGTGTTTGGTGCTGTATAAATAAAACTGAAGTGAATTGAACCTGCAGAGGCATAAAAGGACCCCAGCAGATTCAGACCATCAACCTTCTTGCTATGATGTGACAGTGCTAACCAGTGCTGTTCACCTCATCTGTGGAAATGCTCTAGACAACAGTTACTTTCATTCAACACAATATCAGGCACGAGCAGTATTTCTTGTTGCTGATCAGTATGTGCTTTGGGAGTGAGAACATGTTGGTGATTCAGAATGAATGTTTGAGCTTTTTAAAAAAAAATTGGTTTTTCAATACAACAGAGAAGTCACATAAATCACTGTATTTGATTTTCATTTTATTTTTTTCCAAGTGATACATCTACATAAAAGATTTCATGGCCTCGCATGACAAATACGGTACAGCTTTTTTAATCCCCCCCCCCCTTTTTTTTAACAGCTATTATAAGATCTGATATGATGAACAACATTTTTTTTTAACATTCTGCAAGATATGTATAGGACCTAACAGGAGGTCAGTATACTGTATACCTCACCCAATAAAGCCTTACCTTTAAAATAAATGTCAACATCACAGTTCTGAATGTAAACCAATAAAACAAAACAAAAAAACAAACACTTTCGGAAGCCTTCCCAGAAACTACAGAACATAATGGCAAACAACAATATTTTGGAAAATTTAAGGATATAAAGAAACGTCATCTTTAATCACGTGAGACTCAAAAGCCTCCTGACTGGACTCTGTTCACCATCCACACAAGCACACTCACACAGATCAGAGTTTGACATGTGTGGCCAAGGTGGCATGGCACATGAACGCAAATGGCTCGTGCTTTTTTTTTCTTTCCAAAAAATAAAAGCAAAAAGCGGTGTGTGGGGGGGGTTAAACTCGCGACAGAATAGCAAATCTTAAAGCTTATGTCTCCGTTCCATGAGTGACAGAAAGACAACTGAATTACAGTCAGGTGTGTCGAAGCACCAGTAGAATCAGATCAGTGTGTCCTAGAAAAAGCAGGTCTTAAAGGGTTGGGAGTGCCGGCGAGAAGTGGAGATGTTCAGACCAGAGCGGAGCTGGATTGCTGAACACTTCAGAGAGGGAGGGGGGGAGAGAGAGAGAGAGAGAAAGCAACAGCAGCAATCTCAGCAGGTGTTAATGGTTCACCACCTTTGTGTGACCATAGGTTGTAAAAATAAGATACTGGGTATGTGAGTCAGCCAAGCTTGAGATGATTACAGTACTGTTAGGCCTTGACAGACAGCTGTCCCTGCCGGGGGGAATGACTCAGTCCATCGTATTTAAGTACGGCAACGTCAAAGTGCTGTTGCTTCACTGCAAGTCAAATGTTTCCCTTATTCGATATGCACGGTTATCACAATTTAAAAGAATACTGCCTAATCAACAGTAGATGGAGACACTAATACAGACTGAGAAACAAAGGTAAACCCCCAAAAGCATGCCCCGCCCCCCCCCCTTTTTTTAGTGTTTTACAATAAAAGATCACATCAAACTGCCATATTTCAGTTAAATACACTGAAGTTTCCTATGTAATAATGAACATCAGTCTGCTTTGAGGAGAGTACGACATGCAGGTCCTCTTCTGGCCAATAACCGGAGAGAAATCTGGTCCTTTTAGTGTAATCTTGATGTGCGGAGCTCCAACCCAGAGAGGAGTATTAATGGGTCTGGTTGCTGTGTAGAATAAGACATGCTTTGTACTTTTCTTTTTTTGAGGGGGGTCGGGGGTTAAGGGCAGCAAGAACTTCCTAGCTGCCATCAAGTGAACACAAGTCGTAACCAGCACAAGACAGCCAGAAATACAAACTATCATTGCACATAAAGAGTTAATCCTTCACTTTAACCGTGTCATTTACAAACCATAATACAGGAAAACGTTTCCTCTGGAAGTGAACAAAATACTTTACAAAAAACAACCACCTTTAGGGCTTCAAATTGTATAAATAAGACAAAGTCTTAAAGACATAAGTCTTCACATAGAAATTTTTACTTTTTTTTTAAAAATTATTATTATTAGATAAGATAGAATTTAATATTTTTCCCATCATATTTTTTTTTAAATACATATGCAATTTATCTTTTGACTGATGTACATATAGGCATACTGTATGTAGAACCTCAAGTGTCCAAAATGTCTCGGGAAGAATCTCGCAAGACCCAGACGAGGCTACAGTATTTGTACTTTCCCTTATCAAACACATGAAGAACAACAGTTCAAAAAACAAACTTAACATGACTAAAAACTCATCTTCATCTACTGGTACCAACTTCAATTTATAAAATCCTGTTTTTTGTTTTGTTTTGGTTTTTTTAATCGTTTCGACATGTATAGCCTCAGTGGACAGAATACATTTCGACTGTAAAATGTCTTCATTCAGTAATTTCTTGCTATAACACAATATATCTAATAGGTTTTATCTTTAATAAATAAAAGAGTCAAATGTTTGTCTTTTCTTGAGCAGCTGGGTAGTGCTTTCCCAGCACTGCGGCTCCTTTTGTTTTTATCCACTGATGTGTCTGCTTCCATTCACTGCCCGGCTGTGGGCGAGCAGATGATGGACATGCAGCTTCAGCAGAGGAGACAGATGAAGACAGCGAGAGAGAGACAGCGAGAGAGAGCAGTTGGGGGCTATGACTCAGGTGGTGTGGGTTGTGTAAAGATGGCAGGGTAGTGTTTCAGTTGCCTATCCATCAGTGCCGTTCTTGTTGGGGGTGTTGGTGTTGATTGTGGTTCCATCTGGCTGCTGGCCATCTTTGCGCGGAGGCATCCTCTCGTTTATCCTGTCTAGGCCACGCGCCTCCTCAAAGTTGCGAATTTTCCTCGAGGGAGAGAAGCCTTGAATTGCTAAAAATCAGAAAAGAGACCAAAGAGAAAATTAAAAGAAGGTAGAAACAGCTTAGTAATAGATGTGCGTCACAGCAAGTATTCGCTGTAAACCGCCATTTTTAGCTTTCTCTTTTTTATTTTCTTTGCCACCCTCAATCAAAATGCATTCCTTGTGGGATTTCATTTGGTGAGCAATAAACACAGTATTTGCTAATCACAGAACGGATGATCTGTAAATACAACACATGCACAACTAAATAATGACTCCTAACGTTCAAGCACCAGTGGGACAAACTACACCAATTAAACACCTCACACGTTATAGACTTACGTTAATGTCCCGAAACGGCCAAGGAAACCAGAACGAAAACAAGTGCAAATAGAAAAGCAAACTTGTAAGAGACAGTTCATATATTTCACTCATTTTATCAAAGTAAACAGACAGTAAAAACTCAGTGGTTAACACTTTATATGGGAATTATATATTAAAAAAAACAAACCAAACAAAAAACACCCTCAAGGCCACTCTTGCACAACCAGATGTCTGTGATTTAAAAAAAAAAAAAAAAAAAAGTTCCTTGAATATAATAATTGAATTTATCAACTTTGAGTTTTGCGATTTCCAACCAGCGGTACTTGGACCTGCATCGGTCACACGGTTGTATAAAAAGATTCCAATTTGAAAACATTTTTGATTTGATATAATGAATATGGTACAAAGACATATTAGTCCTCGTGACAAAGTCCAAAATAATCTTATCCCAGTGATAAAACAGTTAACACTCAAAATGATCTGATAAAATACATTTGTGCACCAATGTAGTTAGCTAACTGTTGATAAAACAGCTCAGAAGAACATACATCGCTTAATTAGCTAAAAGTAATTGATGCATAATTTAAAAAATTAGCAAAAAATACAGGTTACATAGGGCGATAATTATCTGAAATGAATGGTTATGTGTTAGTAAAGTTGGTAATAGTTACATAAGTGAAATGATTAGGCGAACGCAAACACCATGTAGTTAAATTAATTGTCTAAAATTAAAACAGTCAATATGTAAAATATTTAACATATTAATTAATTAAATATAGGTTAATTTATATTTTAATTTAGTCAAAAAGCAGCTTAAAATACAGGAAATGTGGTTGAAATTAATAGATAAGTAATCTTAGACTGATAAAAATTGTAAAATGATATTGTTTCTATTATAGCTGTGAATAAATATCAAAATAATAAGCTAAACGCAAAGGACAAGTAGCTAACATATTTACAGAAGTAAATAACAGTTACACAAAATAATTAATTATAACATTTCCCTAAAAGTACAGGATGCATTCCTGAAATATTTATCTAAAAGGTGTGAATGAACAGATACTAAAATTTGTAGACTGATGGTAAATGTAACTCTGAGTGGTAACAGTCTAACGTACGCTTTCATGGCCTAAAAGGTTTACTTAAAAAAAAAAAAAATCAATTGAAATGAATACATTTGAAACATAACTGAGCTATCTGAGCTCATCTGGTTGATAAACAAGACATAAAAGGTTGATGCCTATTTGTAAGTAACGCTCCTGCTTTACCTCATCTACAAAGTTAACTGTTAATGTCTTCTGCAATAGAATATTTTATGGATTTGATGAGATAACTGAGACCTGTTGATCCGCCAACCATCACTGTCGACCAAAAGAGACGAGCGGTGTAGCAACAGCCAAACGGAGCAACAGGATTAGATTCTGAAAATATCCCAGGCAGGGATGTCCCCGGTCTTATCTTAACCAGGTCTTAGCAGGCTTTTCTCTGTGTGGGGAGCCACACTTGGCAAGAAAAGCTTATGTGACCACAGCCAGGGACTTCTTATCAACAAAGGACAAATCATGTCCTAAACCTGATCGACAAAACAAAATACATAACCTCTTTAAAACAGTCTTTATTTTTCAGACATACAGAGACGAGCCTGATTTAGCTAATGCTGACCTGAATCCTCCAAAGCTTTAAACTATACAGTGGTAGTTGACACTTCTTGAATCTCATTTTAGCAACACAGTCTAAGTCTTAATTAGTGCCTGTGCAAATTTGCTTTTTGCCTGTATTAAAATGTTTTAGAAAAAAGATTTCTGTATTTACAAAGAGAACACAGCAATTACAAAAAGGCGATTACTTATGTTCACTTCTTTCTCATTCAAGCATTTTGTTTCAATTCATGTTCTGTTGCTGTTTCCACCTCATTTTGTCTGTCAAAGAAAACACTAGTGCTGATTTTCACAATGACAGAACCAGTGTTATCAACAGATTCTGATGATGCAAGAGCAACCAGCAATAACGGGATTCACTATAACAGGATAATCAATAGAAATAAACAGAAAGGGGGAAAAAATACATATTTGAGGAGTGGGTCTGTGTTAAAGGGTGAACAACACACACAAAACACAGACAGGGGGATTTGAGCCAAACAGCCAATGCATACCTTTTGCTTTAGCTGCCTCAACGGTAGCTATGTTAATGGGAGTTGAGGAAGGAGGGGGGAAAAGGAAGTCATCAAAGTAGCCAGAGACAGCAAATACAACAGTGTTTAAAAAAATTAATAAAATACAACTAAAAAATAAATCTGAACACCCCTGTGGGATAATCTGAAGAAACAGATGGCAGAATATAGGCCAACACCCACGGCTCATTCAAAGGGAGGCAAAAATTCATAGCAGCTGTGAAGCGTCACCAAAACACTTAGGTGATTGGGTGGAAAGGTTAGAGTGAAGAAGTCTGCTGGAGTTTTAAGCCAGTGTTGGTGTTAAAGGGTCACGAGGACTTAGGTGTGGAGAGCCAGGGGGGATTTGGTTAAACACTAAGAGTCTAAGATGGGGGCGAGATGCACAACCATGACCAGGCAGTCCAGCTCAACACACAGTCAGCACAAGTCAGATGTTCCCTTTAGACACACACTCATTTACACATGTACAATCAGCTTCATGCCAAAGTGAACTAAAATAATTTTTACAGCTTTTGGAAACACGATGAATTAAATTTGATGCAAACTGGATTTAATTAGTGCAGCAATGATGTTATGTGTTCATAAAACGCACAGGTATATTATCATCAAGATTGAAACAAGCAAGAATCGGAGAATCAAGGAGGACTGGATAAAAATACACACAGCCCCCTGCTCCCCTTGTTTGAACTAGCCTAGCTGATCTGAAAGCTGTGATTGGGGGAACAGACATGGACAATGACATTCTCAGAAAGGTCACAACATGTGGTTTTCCCTTTGATTGCTCTGCAACTTCTGTGAGCCTCCAGCATGGCAGAGCATGGCTCCCAGCACGTCCTGTGGCAGGTGAGGCCTGGTGCTGACCTTTAGATCAAAGGGTCAGCAGCCACTTCCAGGTGACAGGCTGACCTCCTCGACCAGCCGGCCCACGGCTCAGCCCCAAAGCTTTCTGCCGCATGGAGGCAGGGGGCAGTCAAAGTCCTGACACTGCTTCCTGTGGCGGGAATACCACCATTGATCTCGAACCCTTCAAAGAGACTATAACCGAATGGTGAAGCGGCTGTATCAGATATTCACAGACAAAGCTGAAAACCTTCCTCGGATGCTTCTTTTTAATATACTGAAGTTGTTCTAGAAAACGTCTCCCACATGGCAGCAGGTTCATCCCATCTCAAATCATCGTTGGCCGTTTTAATTTTACTGAATTATAAAACACATTCAGGACAGAAGGTCTCAAAAATCAAAAATCTGTAATTTAACAAATTTATTTTCTCAGTTATAATTAGAAGACCATCTAGAAGCTATCTACTGATATTTGTAATGATACAACTTGTCGTACTTGCTCAATCCTGCATGAAAGTTTCTGTGACTGAAAACTTCACATTAAACATTATTGTACATTAAACATGGTCATTTTTGCATTATTGTGAAATACAATTCTATGGTATTCAGAAATTGTCAAACATTTTCATTTGCAATGTGTAAGTTTTTGGGGGGTTAGTGTGTGCTCAAATATGGGACTTTCAAAGACTTCAATTTTCTTTTAAGTCCTATTTTAACTCAGACATGTTGTGATTTATCGTCCCTAAATTAAAGACTCTCACTCATTTTTATGGCAGGGAAAGCTCAGAAAACTGTTCGCACTTTTATCTTTAATAGTTTTTGAAATATTAATGTTCAAAAATGGCCTCAGATTTTAAAGTGTTAAAAAAAACGCAAGTGACAGGTCGATGGACCATTTTCAAAATATATCCAAATATATCCAAACGTTGGAGTGTGACATTTTTATGGATATTGGAAAAAATGTTCTTAAAATTGTTTGATTTGAGATGGAATGGCCTGGCAGTTTTAAAATGTCACTGGGTACTTCTTTGGGCATTTATATTAGGACATGTTGTGACATATGTTTGCATGTATAGGGCTGTATCATAATGTATCTGAACACTTGTCTCTTCAGCGTCACTGAGATGCACAGATATGTCCGTATTTTCCACATTGCCTCTTTTGAAACCCAAACAGAAGGAAATTACCAGGTTTATTCTTAAGTAACAGGAAACCCCCAACACAGAAGCTGTGGCTTCTTTAGTTTAGTTGCAACAAAACCAAAGGAATTTATTTTTTGTGAATGTTAACTCTACAGCTAAGCCCATTAGAGATGACTCAATTAAAAAAAACAATAATTAGAGCAAACATATTGAAATATGTCAGTTTTTATGACTTCACACTCAAAATGTTGCATCAGAGTTTGAAGCCAATATAACAGAGGAGCAAAGACCTGAAAGTCATCCAACTAATCAGGTGAAATGAAAGCAACATTGCTACAGAATAAACATAATCAACTGCAGGGGAAAAAAATGGCAATAAATTAATTTAGTTGCAAAAATTATTACACATACCCACAGACATCAGGGTATCAGAGGGCGGAGTCAGGAGTCCTGACAGTAATACTTCAACCACCATTCTTCTGACTTGCTTCACATGTCAGCAAGTGTATAATGTATATATTAGCATGGATAAGCAGGCTAGGATAACTGGATAACTGCCACAAGAAAATAAGGGCAATCTTTAAACTTAAATCTTAGCAAGAAAAGCTAAGTGTGTAATAAAAGCAAAAACAGGGGGAAAAAACAGGTGTGCCTAAATAAACAGACTCTGCGACACAGGGTGTGACACAGAGCCTGTCTAATTAGAGCTAAGTGGTAAATGGACACAGTGGAAAGGTTACACAGTATAAGAAACACTTACCGCTCTGTAAGGTCTGCTTTCCCCCAGACAACACTCCCACTGGAAGAGTTCCAGTTGGGGTCAGGCCTTTGAGTGTTAACACACTCTCACTTTCCTCCCTAGTCCAAAAACAACACACAGGAGCATGAAGAGCACACACAGTTTAGGTCTCAACAAGCGCAGCGACCCACACCTTGTGGTTTAGAGGCGGTTTTCAAACCATGAGGTCATGAGGTCACTGGATGTTTCACCTGCTCCGTCTCATCCAGTCTTTGTTTGGTTCGATGGACTATCTGCACTAATCGTCTCCAGCCAACCTGCTAGCATGTGCCCGGCTTCTGTAATTGGGTCACTGACAACTTGTGTCAATTTTAGCAGCTGAACCAATATTTTTAAGACTCGGTTCTTAGTGTACAGATTTGTGTTAGCACACTTTTATGTTAACATGTTGCCTTTAATGGGTCCTCTGCTTTTTATTCTATAGAAACTTTGAGACACTTCAAAGGCAAACTTCACCTTTTCTTATCCTACAGAGACATCTGTGCCTTTAAAAAGTGTCATTAGCCTTCTTTTACCCCCCCTCTCCCTTTCAGTATTCGACATACGGAGGCGTTTGACAAATAGGCTGCTTGTCCACTTGCAGCAGTGTGACGAGCTAGCAGCAGCGCCATTAATCTGGAATAATGTGTAATGTCATTACAGAGTCTAGGTGCATCGTGACTCATCTTGTGCCCGCTCATTAATCCCAGCAGGCCAGCGCTGTGTTTTCAAACTCAGCTTCACCAATCCTGCTGCATACTGGCCCTGTGGTGCCCTGCAAATTATTTCTGGTATTGTGATGACCCAGTGCACTGAGCTCATTGAAATCCCTTTAGCATATATACATGAACACAAGCATTTCCAACTGGGATTATATTTAAAAAAAAAAATAAATAAATAGAAGAAGGGAAAAAAAAAAGAGAATGTCAAAGTCAAGGCAGACCTGAGAACTGCGAAGACTCGGGCCATTTTTCCCACAGCACGAATCTTGTTCCGAATAACCTCCTTGCGCATCGCTGAGGTGCCGCCTGGAGACAGTGCGTAGTATGAGTTAAGACAAAGCACACCGCACTTTCCATCCCGTGGGAGTGATATTCTTCGCCCTCTTTGGTCACGCGTTCGTTTCAGAGCAGAGTGCGTGTACTTCAGGGACCAGAACTCCCTATTCAGCATCAGCCATGTGTGACAGAGGCTGAATTATGATTAAGCGCTACACATAAATCACCTCCCAGCATTCCATGTCAGTTAAGTGAGTGCCGGGACTCATTATCACTTCATCCAATTTAAAAGCCAAATTAAAATCGTCATTCACTGAAGAAGCAGAAATGAATCTGTATAAAGTCTACAACCTAAGCACATGTGCACAGGTGAGCAGGCCACCTATATTTATGGATTTTTAGACAAAAACACGCCTTAAACTAGGTTTAGCTTTGATACATGTTATAAATGTGTTAACCTTCTCAGGTCTGACTCACCATAGATAAGAATCCTAACTATGCCCTTACCCCATTATTTGTGAAAAATAATTTTTGATGTGTGTCAGTGAGAAAGATTATTTCCTTTGTTTCCTGATTGCCTCAATTCTAGAGAACAATGTACTAAAAACAGAGTCTACAATGTGACTAGTAGCTCATCCAGCTCACGATCCATCACAATTCACAGGTTACTTTAATGTGTGAAGAACAGAAAGAAAGTGAGAAGTTGTCTTGTCATTGTTTGGATGTATTTGTCCAAACTAAGAAAAATTCAAACCCACTGAGTAGTTTGTGTCCAGGACACATTATCCTGGTTCATCACCAAGTAAAAGTGTTTGATTCTAGGAGCACTATGAGTATGTGGTCACCGGTAAATACGAAGACAATCCCAAAAGTAAGGTCTCCTATTGTTTTAGAAATACAAACAACCGTTTATTTTTTCACAATATTTACATCACGGGTGACGTGTGGACATGCAGTGTTGTGGCGAATGCTTATGTCTTTCCTCAGCATTCCTCTTCTCCGGTTCTGAAATGGCCTTCTGAGTTTTTCCTGTGATTCACAGTACCTGTCAGCATTTACTGTGGTCCCAACAGGCAGAAAGTCAACCAATAATACCCCCTTTTGGTCCCAAAACACAGTTGCGCACTGTGCATAAGCATTCTCCACGATACCGCGCATCCACACGTCACCGTCAAACTATCGCTCTCCTGCCAAACTTTGGTTGGAACTTCATCCCCCACCCGCCCTACAGTCTGGGCTACGCACCCAGTGACTACCACCTGCTCCCAAAGTTGAAAGAACATTTGTCCCGAAGGCGAATCTGTGGCGGTGGCGAGCAGGTATGACATGGGCATTGTAAAACTGCCACAGCATCTACAAAAATGCATCGACCAAAATGGCGATTATGTAGAAAAATAAGTCTTCAAGCTTTAAAATGATGTAAATATTATGGAAAATTAACTGTTGTTTGTATTTCTAAAACAATAGCAGACCTGACCTTTGGGATTGCCCTCGTATAAAAAAGTCTGAAAAGACATCACATCGGCTTGTCGTAGCTTTGATCGTATTACTGACTGGTGACCAGGAGGTATCGTGTTAGGAAGAGAGGTGGACTGCCAAAGATTGCTAAATAAACAGTTTGCCTGCATGACAATGCTTTCATTTCAGCTTCTTCTCAATTTAGTGAGATTACCACTGTGGAAAAACACACTGGCAGTTCTCACTAATAACCTTCCCCAACTTAGTGGGGTTTTTTCTTGTTTTATTTTTGTACTGGTCCCAGTCCATTGGTTATATTTATGAGTAAAGTATTCATCAGAAACATTTCGAGATGAACGTTTTCGAGTGGACGCTTCTTCAGTAATAATAGACATGCTTTTTTTTTTACCTACCTTCATAAAGGTCGTCTCCCTCTGACATGAGCTCATCGTCGGAGCAAATGTTGAGTACATTCACCAGCATCTCCGTCACTGTAAATGAATCATAGAAAGCTCAATACAAGAATCGTTGTCGGCCTCCAATCCACTTTTTCCAAACTCGGCACCAGACGTACCCTTCTCTCCAACAAAAGGCAGAGACCACGTAAAGACATCCATAAAGTTGGGCAACCAGTAAGGGTGCGGGGAGCAGTTGAACTGTCGGATGTTCATCACGTTGTTCTCGTATTTTAATACAGCAGCTAAGATAGAAAGAGAGGAGGAGATGGGAGGAGACATTGAAGGACTGACGACAGGTAAATGCAAGAAAAATACAATAATGAGAGAGGTATGAGAAAAAAGAAAAGACAGAGACCTTTGTTGTTGTAGACATCTAGGTAATTTGGAGCTGAAAAGATTGTGATTAATGAAGGGAAACCTGTGGTCTGGCTTTTTCTGTACATCCGATACCTATGCAGCCGCAAATAAGAGTGACCCATTAAACATGTTCCATATCATCAAATGCTGGAAATGTGTTTTCAAAATACCACTTACCCTGCATCCTGTGCTTCATGGGCTCTTATTACCGACAGCAAGTTATTATTTACCAAAAAGTCACAGACTGCTGAGTAACTGCAAAGAGAGAAAGAGACAGAGAAGGCGGACCAGTTAAAACCACTAACAGAGGGGTCAAAGCGTAGTTCAAATTTAAACCATTAGACGGAGCAGCGTGAGGCCTCTTAAGATCAGTTACTAATTGACTGTTGGCCTGAGGAGATGCCTTCACGTTTATTTTCAGCATGTTGTGCCCTCTGGCCTCTTGAGCTCAGAGTTTAAAGATGCACAGTATCCAGGGGTTGCTCTAGTGTATTTATGGGATTCAGCAGCACTGGCTGGCCTCTCCAAAAAGTTTAGACCAAGCAGAGGCTAGATGAGGACAACTACTTTACTTTAGAGTACAACTAATCCATTAGCTCTGGAAATTATTGGGAATAAACAAAGCAACATCAAACCAGCCCCAATGGTTTCTGATATTGGCAATATGAACAGACTTTAGACATGCAGACTTTAATGTTTTGACCAGTATTAATATTAGACTAAGGCAAAATCATAGTCACAATTATTTGTTCCATTTACTCAGCAACTCCAGAACCACTAAAGGAGGGGATGTTGGAGGAACACTAGTGAGTGCTGCTCAAAGAAGAACAGGTGAGAGATCCTCAGTGATGCAGAGATAAATGAGAGCATGCTGCAAGCAGCTGTTAAATAATCATTCAGCAGGTTCATCAAAGGAAACCTTGTTTTACTTTCAAGTTCTTTTGATGGAAATCTTGATGACTAAAACCTCTCCTTCCACGGTCTTGGCTCTAGCTCAACTCATCAGCAAGTAAATCTGGGCTCTAAGGGACTTGCAACACAAGACAAAACAGAGTGTTTTATCACTATTACTTTGGTTTAACACTTGATAAACTGGTCAGTTCGTACACTATTTCATCTAAACTAGGGATCAGCTAAACAAAATCACTTCACCTTAAGATATGCATGAAAGGAGGAAATGTCTATAGCACTGCCAATCAAAAGTTATCAACTCAAGGACTACACACTTTCACAAAACCTCCAGCAAATCACGTCTATATTCAGTATCAATGTGTTCTTATTTCCCGAAACTTTATCAAGGTATCTATGTTTTATTTATTTTCTTGCACAGCTCTGCATTTCAGAGTTAGCAGCAATCCCAAAGTTTGTGCTAACAATCTTTTAGCCAATCAGTTAAGATATTTAGTTTTTATTTTTGTGAAATACAAACATAAAAAAAAAAAAAATCTAATTAGTGGTTTAGACAGCATTTTAACAAAAATGTAAAATTATGCTAGCACCTGTTATACTTTTACAATAATTGAGATGCTGCTTTATCAATCTAATGTTAGCTTCATGAGGCATCAGTCACACGGGCCTACAGGCCGCAACACACTGGCAACTTTGAGAAACCAAAACAAAGGTGAAATTGTCTGCAAACAGAATGCTGCTGCACCAAAAACATCATTGTGATTGCTTTGGTTGCTAGCAGATCTCTGCAGTCACCTGTAGTTTGCATTGCAAACCAGAGTAACAACCTTTAGTCTGAAGGTGAACATTCCTCATTTCTGGTTTGCCTCACACTTTTCATGTTTCACTACTGCTTAGTGAGCAGTGTGTAAGTGTTTGCAGACAAGTTGGCGCCTTCCATGCAAACGTTTGGCAAACACAGCAACCTGTTGACAACCAAAGCAGTCGGAAGGAGGGTTTTCCATACAGCTGGTCGTGACCAAAGTGGTTGCCAGATGGTCGCTGACTGGTCTCTAGGCCTTTGTGACTGAGGCCTTAGTTAGCTCAGATTTACACTGACTGCATCACAAGCAGGCATCACTGCTCTTTGCCTGTGTGTCGTCACCTTGTTTATACAAACAAACAGCAGTATACACCAGTGGAAAAAAGCAATCCTTTCAATGTTGTTGGAGTAGAAGGTCATCATACTGTTCCCTGGATTTATCAAACAAGGCAGGCTGACAGTCGGCATAACAACTACAGTGTCTTACATTTAGGTTAGGTGTAGAGTCGCTGACATCGCTAAATGCAGGTCGTCTATTGTATTTGGCTAACTTTTGTGTCAGTCTCAAAGACTGTTGAAAACTGACCACATTCTAAACAGGAAGAAACCTTTATTTAGACATTCTGACATTGTGAGTTATGCATGTGTAATGTGTGAAACACTGCAAACCGCTGTGACAAAAGTCTTTCCCAAATATGAGCTAAATAGTTTCTTAAAAGTACTTACTTTGTCACGTGGAGACCACAAAATGAAAGCTATGATAAGTCCATCCAAAGTGGCTGACCAACTCCCCTAAGCTGCCATCTCTTGGTAAGGTCTGGTGCAATCTCTTAATTCACTGATGCATTTATCTTCACTTAATACAGACTTACTGAGGAAGCTGGTTACATCTCAAGTTGCACACAGCTGATGTAACTAGCTCCAAGCTAACTGATTTAGCTTATCTCAACCTAACATTTTCTGTCATAAAGGACTGTGATAGGCCTTGTTCAATTTTTCCTCTCTAATCTTATTACACGTAATCACCTGGCTGTTGTTTCCTATTCTGAATAAGCGTTTTGTATCTTTAAACCCACAGAATTCTAAACAAGCCATTTAAATGTGTAAATCTCTAACATGTTTGTCTGCTCTTGACCATTGCTGGACCCATTTCCACAGAATATTGTGAAGGAGCTCTTTGAATCTGTTGACCTATTTTGTAGAGGCACACTGAATGTGTTGACCCATTTTGAACATGCTGTTTTTATCTGCTAACCTGTTTTGAGAAGGCCATTTTTGAAAGTGCCTCAATAAGCTGATTGACCTATAAAACAATGAATCCACAACCTGTGACCTGCGCGATGCAGCTCGTTTTCAATTCAATTCCTCATTATTATTATTAAAGTGGTCTACAAGGGCAGTGCTTGTGCAGAGCGCAACAGTGACGCTAAAAGCGGCAGTTTTACCTGAAAAAGTAAGAGCAGCCTCTGACGGAGTTGTGGTTGAAGTGTTCTGATGTTTTTTCACTGCCGTAGTCCTCACCAGGGTCTGCCCAAATCAGGTCGCACATTGGCCCGAATGCTGGAGGCTCTTTAAATCTGTCTAACTGCAGAGCACAAAATACAAACATGCTTAGCAGAGGAACTGTTTGGTTGTGACAAAGTGGCTAAAGCCACAAAGTCAAGGAAATGGACTCTCTCACATGAAAGCACTCCATTCAACTGCCTCGATGGAAATTACATGAATGGAACTGAAAAAATGCATTTTTAACCGAACTCGCTTTGTTACACTAGTTCTGTCAGCAGGGACAGAACTAGTGTAACAAGCTGAGAAGCTTGTGAAAGGCTACAACCCATGTTAAACAATAAAAACCGATAAACAATTTCTGGCCTTTTTATTTTGACTAAAGCCCCAAGACCAAGACAGCAATATGCCAACACATCTCCTAATACTTTTTTCTATCAGACACACAAAACAGAAAACACGTCTCTAACATTTGCGATATGGTGTTATTTATTTACGTTGGACTTCGTTCTGTTCACCTGGTTGTGTTTGTGGCACTCCAAAAATGTATGTTGCCAACAGGGAAGTTGCAGGGTGCCCTCTGCCAGACAAACTATGTAACGTCAACACTCAAAACACGACTGAAGAGTGTTTATCCAGAGTCCAAAAGTATTTGCCCAACGAGTATTTATAGCTTTTAACTGTCCATCTCTAACAGACTGTAAATAAGAGATCAACGTAGCTCCAAAGCGAAAAAGTGAGGCCAGTTTAAGCCTGCCTTCGTTCTATCCATCCATCCATCCATTCGCTTCCGCTTATCCTTTTCAGGGTCGCAGGGGGCGCTGGAACCTATCCCAGCTGTCATAGGGCGAGAGGCGGGGTACATCCTGGACAGGTCGCCAGTCTGTCGCAGGGCCAACACACAGGGACAGACAACCATTCTGACCCCCGGCCTGATGGTGGAATTGAACTCAGGACCTTCTTGCTGTGCGGCAACAGTGCTAACCACCGTGCCACCTGCCTTCGTTCTAAATATAGTAAACTAAGTTGATGACTTAATTTAGATGTTACTGTGTTTTCATGTCACCCTCTGGTGCTGTTAAATGTGCACTTTATTGTAAAACTTTTGTTTTCAATAACAGCCATATTGGTTGTCCTGCCTCAGTTTGACCAGGACATCCATGGCACAGACAGGAAATGCCCATTCTGGATTTCAACCTGCCAACAGTGGAACAGGCTGTACATCAAAGCTAGAATCACGTGTAATGAGGCATGACGGAGTGAATGATCTGTGATTAGAGCTGACACTTTAACACATATTCTTGGAACATATAAGAGATTAACTTGAAAGGCAGATCTTGATAATGTCACAAGCCAGCGGTCGATCACTTACTTTTCTTATGTCATCTAGGCAGTTGATTTCTGGTGAGAGTCCGCCATGTACACACAGGAACTGCTGGTTGAGTAGGGCAGCGAGGGGCAGGCAGTCAAAGGCCTCCATACAGGCGTCATACACCCGTTCAGAGTATTTAATTTTACCTGCAGTAAAAATAAAGATTGGGATTCAGTCTGAGGTCATAATTACTGTCAAAGATGGCAAAAAGTCTGTTGAATTTGCTCACTACAGCAAAGGTTTGGTAGATGTGTTATGAGCGGCTAGCAGAGCTGCCCTGCCAACTGTGCCAGTGGTGATTGTTTCCAGACAGCTTCTACAGCGCCACTTGCAGAAGAATGAAAGGGTCAGATTAGGTCAGGAGGAAGTCCATGCCTTATAGAGGAGAAGCAGCCAGGACAGTACAATGCGAGTGCCAGTTTGAAGACAGTGCTACTTTAAGGTCATAAAGGGGAGTGTGGAGCTTTGAGCTTGGAAATTAAAGTTCTTTACTCTGTGAAAATGTTTTAGTAAATGAACATCTTTAATGCTTAGTTGGAATAACAATGAAACACTACTCATGGGATGAGAAACAGGAAAATGCCATTTCTGCAGTTAGCTAAAGTAAAGAGTTAATGCCGTCTTATGAATCTAGGTTAACTCTGGACTCTGCACACTAACCCATGTCTTCCCAGAAACGACGTCATGGGGCTGTAGACCATAACAGATAAGATGAGTGTGCTTGGTGATAATAAACTATGCTAAAACTGTTTATTGATGAGAACAAAGATAATGTATTCATTAAATAAAACAGGTCGTCATTGTATCGCGCTTGCTCATGAGGCTATGAGCTGCATTATATCTACCACACAACAAAGTTGCCGTCAAATCCATTGTAGCAAGCCGCTGTTTCTGCCGCTTGTGCAAGTCTCTATGTCTGTTACTTGTCTTATTGTGTAAAAGATTACACAGAGGGAGGTTTCGACCCCTTTTTTGTGAGTGCTGATGTGGAGGTATAGTGGCGACGCCTATCATTCATGAGAATAGCTGTGGGATGTGGAGGAATCGCAGGAATAGATGCAAGGATAACAACATGGTCAACAGAGCCTTAATGCAGTAGCCAATATTCTGCCCACGTCATAACTTCGAGTTGTACACTGTGAGGATCAATCATAAAATAAGTTGTAAAATAATCCCCACTCTTGACTGTTTAATCTGAAAAAACAAAACGTTCTAATATCATTAATGCACCACTTAAAACAATAAGGCAACATGGGTTAAAACATCGTGTGAGGCCACACTGACTTGGATTGCCACATTTTACTACTTCTACAAACCTTTCCTGTGTGTACTACAAGACAAGGCTACGAGAGAAGTGTGATCGCAGCTGCAATCAATTACTACAACAATCCCTAACCTCTCTGATTAAATTTGTTAGTGTTGAACTGATTTATCGATCAACAAGCTTTTCCGATCAATAAGCTTGCCCCAACCGAACAGGTGGCAAACTGTGTGTGTGTGTTTGTGTGTACAGATGAGGTGGCATGTGGGTGGGTGTGAGCAGGGATGTAGTGAGTGAAATCTATTTGCAACTGGCAAGACATTCTTTGCCGACTGCTTTCTGAGTTTGCATGCTAATACCTCCACACCTGCTCTGCACACACACACATGCAGCTGTCACTGACTGAAATCAAAGTGTGAGTGTAACTGTCTAAATAGCATCAACAGCATGCCTCGCTGCTCTCCATGCTTCGGCAGTTTGCTGTCGGCAAGACAAACGGGACAAAGGCTTCATCTCCTCGCTGGAGATTCGCAGATGAACTGTTGCATGTTGTGACGGGACTTCCCAATTCAACGTGTTTGTGACAAATGTGTCCTACTTATGGGGCGCTAGTCATTTTACTAAAGGGGAATAGAGAAAACACTCCACTTCTCTGGCATGAAGTCTGACTTAACATAGCTATGTTTCCCAGCACTGTGTTTTCAATTCCTTATTTGTGTCTGCGGTACTTGAAAGTGAAAAGAACTATCAATGGGACTAAGGAAATACCTGCGACAGCAATCCTGCACTCACACTATTAGCACCAGACTGCACCATTATATCTGGGCTATGTGTGAAATCTGAGAGCTGACTGATACAGGTCAATTTAAAGTGGTACAGAGCGCATATGAGCCCCCTGGGCTGGTCTTCATACGGCTGAAAAAAGCAGCACACTTACATTCCTGTTTGAAGGTGAAATACTCAGTGAGGTGCCGGCACTCGTGGTTCCCACGCAGCAGGAAGAGTGTGGTGGGGTGGTTGATCTTGAGAGACCAGAGGTAGAGAACGCACTGAGAGGAGAGACGGCAAGAGAGAAATGTGAGAAAGGTCAGAGACGTGTGCTCATAATTCTATTCAAATATATTCAGTGTTCTCCACACACAGGCTTCCCTCACCACTGTCATCAAGAGCTGTTCGAGGGGGAACTGTTGAGCTGCTCTTTCAAAGGTTTTAAGGTATGGACCTTACTATATAAAGTCCCAGGAACTGATTTTTGGTTTAATTTCACACTATATAAAAAGCAAAAACAATATTTATGTTAATTAAATGTCTCTCTCTACATATGAACTAGATTTAATCATCTCTTGAATATGTTGACATTTTTACAACAAGCGTATTAGCATCCCAGATGACCCTCTCAAAGGCAGCAAAAGGCCCCGCTTTCCAACACAATTCACATTGCGTGAGTAGAGCTGGGCGATATGAGATTTTTTCATATCACGATATGTTTTTTTCATTTCAGGCGATAACGATATCTATCACGATATAAGCCAAATAACTATATTTGTAAGATTTAAATGTGCCGTTGCTCACAAGTAAAATGTGAAATAATCAGCAGCTTGTTTTTATTTAAATATTTATTTCCCATAATAAGTTCAACAGGGTAGATGTACTTAAGGAACATGAGACTTTTTCAGATAAATAAAGGCAAATATTGCAAACTACACAAAAGGCAGCCGCTAAAGCGTTTAAGTTTCAAAATAGAACAAACGAAACAGACTAAATTGTCAATTCCACTTAGAAACAAAATATTAATTCTAAAAATAAATCTTAGTTTGTTTTACAGAAGAACAGACAAAACTGACTAACTTTTGTCAATATCAAATAAACTGAGAACTAAAAGGAAATTCTCAATCTCTCCTTGTTGTATAGCTTAGCTTTTCAAACAGTTTTAACAGTTACTTTAGTCTGACAAAAGCCGAATGACGAATTAGCGCTTCCAGTCACACGTACACGGGTATTTTTGAAAACGGAGATTTTCCGTTTTCGTTTTAAAAAATAATCCCGTCCACACATAAAGGCAGAAATGAAGGAAAACGCTGCTATGAACATGCCAAAGCAGCAGGTGGCGCTAGATTCCTAACCGTGCAGAAATGTTGGCCAATCAGAAGTCTAGAAGCCTCGGTGGGAAAAAGTAAACAAAGCTGGGGCATAGAAGCAGAACCGAGTCGTATGTGTGGACGGACAGTAACTGTGTGTATATGTAAGCATTTAAACACTGCAGAGAGTAGAATTAACAGTAACAGTATTGTAGAAATTCATTTCACCGAAACAATAACGTGGCGCACAGTGTGACGCATGCACCAGTTTATTGTATTTCCAGACTTGCTTTCGGCACAATTTACAGTGCACGCTACTCTGTTTTTTGTCAGACTTGAAATAGCCGAAATACCTTCACACTACGGAACTTCTATGGCTCTTCCGTTCGACAATCTCTCCGGCGTTGGAACCATCATCTGTTTTCTCTTCGGTCACGCTCGGTTGATTTTTCTAGTCGGCGCACTCATTTCCTCCATTACCCGCTGGCTGCTTCCCAAACAAACACACGTGCGGCTTGGCACTTGTGCTGTACGTAACAAGTCACGCGACGTGACGCTGCGGCTGTGATTGGTTCGGCTCTGCGCTACTTAATTTGGATTGGCTCCTTTTTTTTTTTTTTTTTTTTTTTTTTTAAGAGGACAAGAGCGGCGAGGTCTATCGCGATAGCTTAATTTCTCTATCGAGTAAAAGTTATATCGCGATACATATCGTTATCGTTCTATCGCCCAGCTCTATGTGTGAGTATTGAAATATTGTTACTATTGTAAAACAGTGTTCCAAAATGTTGCTACTATTAACATTTTCATATTTTAGAGCCACCGGAGATACAAAGGAGACATTACCGGTACTTATCGCACACAGACTTTATTTTGGCTGGCCACCCGACCTTAATCAATTATCCAGTTCAGGATCATGGGAAGGGAGTATCCCAGGTGACATAAGGTGAGAGGCGGGGTACATCCTGGAAAGATCTATCATAGTATTAACACTAAGTAATAGAGAACCATTCAGACTCACAGTTACACCTATGACTAATTTAGAATTACCAATTAACCTGACCTTTGCATGGTGGGAGGAAACCAGAGTACCCAGAGGGAATTCACACAGCCAAAGGGAGAACATGCATACAAGCCCCAACTAGCCAATGTACTCATGTCCCATGGAAGGACTTCAACGCCACTGCCTTGGACTGCAGCTGGCAATGGTACTCCTTCTGCTCTGGAGATCTGCTGCAAGATGCAGGCTGACTCTAAGCAGAAACAGCGGGTAGCTGAAGAGAGCTGGTTCATGTCCTAAGCCAACCTCACTTACAAATTGGTTACAGAACAGAACAAGGACTACTTTGCCAGCTGCAGTCCAAGACAATGGAAGGCCTCCAGGTGGACTCAGGGTGAGAGATGCCCTTATTATGTTCTTGCAGCAAGATACATCATATTTTTAGTTCCCTTAGACCCTTAGAATGTGTGCATCTCCTTTAATGATAGACAACCCGTATACCCCTCCATACTGAACAATAATGTTTAGTGAAGCATACTCATATTAGAAACGCTAGAAACAGCAAATGTTGGAATAATTACTCAGGCAATTATCTATCACTCCATCCATCCCTGCTCTTAAAATGAATGTGGACTCTCAACCTTTGATCACAAGGTAGTTGCACAGGCCGCATGGTGGGAGACAACCTGTCTGCAAACAATCACAGACTAACTACAAACACTCTCAGACAAATTGGTGAAGGTTTCCAAATAACTGCTGCTTAATTTATAAACACGATGTGTCTCACTGCAACGCAAGGCTCAAACAGACTGGTTGCCATCTGGTTATATTCCTATATAAAAGTAAGGTATGAGTGCTTATGTCATTTTGCAGTTAAATTCCTGTCCTGTAGCAACTGCTACAACTGCTATTTGCTTTCTGCCACATGAAGCTCCAAACACACATTAACCATCATACGCCAAACAACAGTTTATTTTTCCCTTTGCTAACCAAATATTAGAAGCAGTGGGATGGGTATCGTGTGACTACATTACTGGTTCTAATTTTAAAAGAACAGAACAGCATTTACAATCCAAATCCAAACATGCTTTCTCTTCAGTTCATGCACTGTTCAATAGCTGCCACTTGACACTCTCAACATGCTTTTTTAACATGTGCAAACCATGGCCCGCTATCGATGCAACGAGATGCCAAGGTAACCAGAGCCTGCAGGTGTGTGTTCACGCAATGTCGAAATAAGGTGGTGGTGGTGGTGGGTGCACCCATCTCATCTTATACACATTGATCACTGAGAGGAATATCAGACTGTGAAGTGCAGGTAAATGTGTTGAGGGGGCTGTCGGTGTGACTTGCTCTCTCTTATGTGCGGAGGCGTAGGAAAGGACATGGCTCTGAGTGGCTTGAAGCTGACATGGGTTTTAATGAGAGCTCTCTACACTCTTTCAGCCAGCTACTCACGAGTGGGGGAAAGAAGACAAAGAAAGGGGCATGGAGCTTTGTGTGGCAGACATGAACACTGGCTACCTTCACCTCATCTCCCACAAACACACACACACACTCTCTTCAGCCTGTGCATGGTTTATGTAGGGGTGGAGCTGGGGCTTGGACGGTTTGTCCAAAGAAACACTTGCTTGGATCAAAGAGAATTCACTAAGTGAATAAAGAAATACACAGAATAAAACAGGTTGTGCACACACAATGAATTTAGACTTTGGCAAATTGCTGGCCTGCAGTGGTAACGCACTGCTTCAAGAGGCTGCGGTGACTCTTTATGTTACCTAGGTAACCACATCCTGATATCCATTTTCCTATATCTGCCTTATGCATTACTGAAGTGGCCTAAAAAAACACTAGCCCTGCTAGTGAGATCAAATGGCTGCAAATCTATAGATTTTACACTTCAGTGCCGTTTCATGGTGACTTTAGGCTGCTTCCTCTCATGTGTAGAAACAATGACACATTTCAGAGACCTTAATCACTATTTTAACAAATCAATAGCTGCCAATTAATGATTATTTTATATTTGTAATAATCTACCTCAATCAAAAGTCTTTAAGAGAAAAAAAACCAGACCATCTAATCTCAAATTTTTGAGAAAAATCATCAGAATTTAGAAGGTGAAATTGGAAGTTCTTTTTTTTTTTTAATTCACTTAAATTATTAATTTATTAAAAAAGAAAAAAAAACTGTTTTACCTTAGAATGACTGACTGATCCACTGTTTTAGCTCTAGACGAATTAAGAAAAATGCAATTACGAAGTTGCTCAACTCAATTTTTTCTAACAAAAGGGACAACTTCTGGGATTAAAAAAAAATGAACCCATCAACTAACAGAAACTGCAATTTCTCTACTGACCCTTTGAGGCTGTCTGTAAAAATCAAGTGAATTTTCATAGACTTAATATACATAAACAGACAATTTAAAAGCATATTTTCAGTCTTGTATATAAGAAAAAATGGTTTTGGCAACTGTCTTATTTGGACCATATGGATCAGAGTCCAAACTGGTGAGTTCACAGCAACTGTGTCCATCTTTTCTCTTTGAATTCAACTCGATGCAAAGCTTCTACTACTAGCTTTGTATGATTCCCAGTCTAAAATAACGCTTGTTTATCTCATCCTTGGTGAAGCCCCCTAGTTATTCCGCTGTCCCTCTTCTTCTAACTTTAACCCAGCTGTCTTTTGATTGGCTGTCACTTATAAACAGAAAGCTTGAACAGCAGATGGGTGGCGCTTCTGAGTTGTGTGCCTGGGATGACCATAATAGTGATAGTGTCCCTCATGGACATAGAGCCAAGATTACAAACACTGCCTGAAACTGAGCATTCAGAGCAGTCTGAAGCCTGAGTTTTCAGCTCACACAGATTACTTGTACATACACTGACTACATTTAATCTTTTGCTCATGTGCTCATGAGCATCATCATCGAAACAGTATATAAAAATACAGCAAACAATAACAAAAACCAAATTGTGCTATTCCTGTATGTGTGCTCCAAAGCTAATCCACTGTCTGGTACTGTTAAAAAACTATCCTGGCAGTTTATTGGATTGGTTTCCCCTCAGCAGCATTTTTAATTATATCCTAATAATTGCCTGGCTGCATATTATGTGTGTATCCCATTACTTTTAATTAGTTGCTGCATGTTAGTTGTGGACTACTTTGTGACCCCAGCCAGCCACAGTAGGTTGTGGAGTTTTAGAACCACAAGAAGCATACCCAAACAAATCAAGCTGATTCTTAAGAGATGCCACTATTTCTAGAAAAATATATGGTGAAAAAAAAAATATAAACGTCTTTAGTAAAAACAAATCTATCTTCATCATCAAGAGCCTTTCATTCCCTTTGCTACTTCTCTGCCCTTTTTTCATCTGTGACATTTCACCCACCTCAGGCAATAACCCAGGGCCATCAAAAGACCCCAGAGGAGGCTCAAAATGTTAGCATATGTCCTAGTTGACTCTTACATAGCTTTCATTTTCTGCTTTTTCTCCACAAATATTCAAAATACTTGAAGACATGAATCAGGACTGCACACACCCTTTAGGAAAAACAAAAAACCCCACTCATATCCATCATGTATCTACTATCAAAAGGTGCAGCGATGTCTGAAAGGCTCCCTTCAAGCACTTATGGACCAGCTTTGGGCCCCAAACAGTCACTATTTCTATTTCTGTTATATAACATAACTTTTACAATTACTATGTTCTTAAGTTGTCAAATATACAAGACGCCGGGAAGAAGGAGGAAACTTAGACTCCAAAAGCCAGTCCTAACAGGTCTGGGGCTAAGGATAGAAGTCGTCAACAACTGAAATGTCAAAATGTTATTTATATTTAAAACATCAATACTTTAGATGCTCTACGAGGACTCGTGCTCCACAGGGTGCTTAATTCAGACCAAGAAAAGTACTTACAGGAACAATCTGAAATGTGTGCTACAAGGAACCCACTGTTAATACACTAACTCATACTGAGTCTGAGTAAGTAACAGTGAAGCTTGAAATTCACACTACTCCCACAAGGTATCCATTTTTTATTTATTTGTTGTTTTTTTTGTTTTTTTTATTGGTTTTTTTTTACAAATCTGGCTCTCAAGGCTATTTCACTGCCATCTGGCATAATTTCTCCCTAGTTTTTGTTACCAGCATGAGTGCTGACATACAATATTGTGCAAAAGTCTTGAGTCACCCCTCGTTTCTTAATAATGTGCTAGGAAAATGGCAAACAGCAATACAATTCACAGAAATATGTGCAAACATACATGGAAATAAAGCATATAAGACAAATGGAATATGTACAAAAAGGACATTCAAAGCTCTTCTTTGGACGCTGTCTGCCTTTTGTTTTGTTTTCTGTCAAATTTTCACGCTGTTTTAATAATGTCAAGGTCTGGGGAGGCCAATCCATGACTGACAGTGTGTTTTATGCTTTTACAGCAAGGACAGTGCTGTAAAAGGATCACTGGGATCACTGACATGCTCAAAGAAAGAAGCCATTTCCGTCAATTCTGACAAGATTAATTCAGTTCTTGTGGCATACCTCAGCCTTTTCTCCACATTTTCCTTAAAAATTTCTTCCTCACATACATTCTTCCACTGAGACCATTTCTAATGAGGCTTCAGTAAACAGTAGATGGACCAACTGAAGGGCCACATGCATCTCTCAGATCAGCTGTTCATCCGCTATAGATAGTTTTAGGTCTGCCCCTTCTTATTTCATTCTCCATGTTAGGGCAGGGCAATATGGCCAAAAATATTTATCAAAATATATATTAAAAAATTGATGATAACGATATAACTGACGATAATTGATAATTGATGTGAGACAAAATACTTTAAAACTCCGCAACTTTATTAGTGCAAAAAAAACCATCAATGTATTTTCACTTAAACAAGCAGCTGTTTTTTTATGGTTCGAGGTCAGTAAGCACAACCAGAATTCATACATAAGGCGCACCGGATTATAAGGGGCACTGTCAATCTTTCAGAAAATCAAAGGATTTTAAGAGCGACTTATTTTCCGAAAAACACTGTAATAACAACGGCCCGCTTGCATGCTCTACCAAAAGTTGTGCCAAACCAGTTCCACACCACTGACGTTGCACCAGTTTTACAAACCAATTCTGATTAATCTGTTTCATTCAACGATCCGCCTTCATCCTTCTCATTCTCCGTCACCACCATGCTTTTTCTGCCATGTGCGTATGAAAAGAAAGGCACTGCGCATGCACGTTTTACCCATATTCTATTGCGATATTTTATTTTCTTATAGTTGCCTAACATTATACCGGTATTACCGTGAACAGTATGATATGGCCCAGCCCTACTCCATGTGTCTAGTTCCCTCAAATGCACACCACGATGACACCTGCCAGGTTTCAGGCTCTTTTGGAATCACCTTTTGGCGTAAAAATGCCATTTCTTGCCTGCCAAAGTGGAATCATTTGCATTTTTAAAATATATATTAAACTTAAGACCTAGTAGCTTGTATGCAATTGCTTGCTCACCAGGTTCCACCAGAACAACCTTAATACTCTTTAGCTTCTTATATTCAGCTTACAAAATTGAAACAAATGAGATTTTGTGACAGGCTGCTAGCAACAAAGTGCCTAAAAACACAGCTTAAAACTGGTTCAGTGATAAATTGTCTCTTATGTGTAGACATAACACTGAGTCATCCCCTCAGTTAGATGCTTTTCTTATGCTTGATTCATATGCCACTGTTTAGTGGCTTCAAAACAAAACAAAAAAAAAAACCCTCACACATTCCCCTGAAAATGGTCAGATTCAACAACTGGTCGGACAATAAGCGAAAAAGCAGCAAATGTCTTAAAAAAAAAAAAAAAAACACTTTTAAAGACCTTCAGAGAGCCTGGAGAACGATTGCTCATGACAAATTTAAAGGCTACAAGAAAGTCTGGCTCCTTGGGACCAACACATAAATAAATGCTTGTTTTTTTGTAATGTACACAAACCATTCCAAATGTGTGATTTATGTTTTACTTTAAACCAGCTCACCATTATAACTGCAATAAATTCAAACGCACTACAGGCACAGCCCTCCAGCCAGAGATCTTGAGAGTCGCACTGCAGCTTTCTGCTCCACTCCTCTGTCTTATTTTTAACTGTTCTAATCAGCATGTAGAAAAGTGTGCCCTTTGGAGGTGTCACTGAAATAAAAGTTAGGGCACAAAAACCCATTTGGTCAAGGAGCACTGCAGTAGTACTCACATTTTAGCAGCCTTTCTCACCATGAGCAACCATCTGAATCAAAGTGGCACTGAAACACGCTCAAGTCCAAATGCTTTTCATTACATCAGCTCTAGCCCTTTCAATGTGACTTGCAGCCAGTGGTCTTACTACAACATCATATACACTTAGAATACAAGCAGCAGTATAAGAAGCCACCAAAACATAACTAAACTAGATTTGACTTTCTGACAGTAACACTTGTATCCAAATTGGATATAAAGACAGCTTTTTTTCTTAAACATACAAGACATACAGTTAGAATACATCAAAACATATCACACTGTTAGATAAACAATAGTAACTGATTACATTAGCATTTTTTCCCAATCCATTTATTTCCCACAAAAGAATGAGCCTGCCTAGCATTTATTAACAGCCCAGCTTAAATATCTGAAACGCTTTACTCAAAGTCGCCAGATCTGAAATCAGTCAGAAAAATGAGGAATAACCCTTCTAAAAAAAAAAAAAAAAACTACAAAAAAAAAACCATTGTTATAAGTCTGATTATTTCTTTAAATTCATAAATTAAATCTCAAAGTGCTACTTAAGCTAAATGCTTTCAAATTGCTATTTTTTGTTATTGTAAAGGACTTCTTAATCCTTAAAACTGAAACATTTAAATGCAAAAAAACATGAAAATATAAAAATTTGGAAGATAAAGAAATAACCTTTTAACACTGACACACGCCAAGAACACCGCAGATAATTTTAAAGCGTTATCTGTGAACCAAACCTATACAGCATGTTCATACAGTTTACTGATACCAGAGTGAAAAATATTCAAAAGAGGAAATAAATGTTTCATTATTATTAAAGTAAAAATAAAAATGACTCAAATATACTAACACAACTACTCACCTCAATACTGAAGTACCCTCGATCTACGTAGTCACCAAGGAAAAGATAGCGCGTGTTACTCGGTGAACCTCCGACTTCAAACAACTTCATAAGGTCAAAGAACTGTCCGTGTACATCTCCACATACTGCCAAAGACAGACAAACACGTTGCTCTTAGTTTCTCAGTTACATATTATAGCCATATTACTTATTCTGGATATCGATGCTGCTCTTATGCAAGTAATGGCCATAAATGCAAATAGTTCAAATAGTTCTCCTAAAAGATTTTATCCTACTTGTTGTTTTGATGATGATGGTGGACAGAAAAGTCAAAAATGACCTTTACGTGTTTGGGACCAGACGATGTGGCCCACATCTACTTTAAACCATTTACTGACTCCTTGTAGCTTTTCACCAGTATACTTCTGGCAGGCTGCCACTGCTGCACCCACCAGGCTTAACAACTCTTCTGATGAAAACTCTGCTATGATCAGTGATAGTATATCTGTGACCTGTAATCCTGGAAAACATGGATTCCATAGAAATAGAATCACAGGGAGAAGGCGATCACTCAGATAAAGTAGGTATTGCTTCACTCTGAAGCTGAGAAGGGTCACTGCACTCTCCTTTTATGACACCAGCCAATGGGTTTTCTTGTTATTCCTTATCTAGTGCGACTATAGGATGCATGCTTGGTAGTCTGTGTGGTCACAGGTGTGAAAGCATGTAGATATCCACGTGGAACCTGGAACCAGGTCAACTTAGGTCAATAGCGGACGGTGAAACTAAGGTTACCAGTGGGCTCAAACCATGCTAATGTGACATCACGACTTCTGACGTGTAGGATGGTTTAATGTTGTTTCAGATATGCATGCCCGCAAGCAGGTCAGTCTTTCCATCTATTTCATATTATTGTAGGACTATAAATAATCCAGACGGCACAGGGGCGAGAAGCTGGAAAAATAAAAACCTACGTTCGCTTCATTTCCAGTTACTAAAGCTGTGCTTTTCCCCGAGTACAGACACGCACCTTTTAGATGAGGTGAGTGCATACTTAAGCATACAGATAGATGGTTACTCAGCTGTGCTGCTCTCACAGTTTCAGAGCAGTGACCAGTGCGTAAGCTATACTGTGACTTGACAAAGCCGTAGAATCCCCTCAATGAATGGAAATATATACATAGAAGGGTTATAGACACTGCAACAGATTATTAAAGATTGAGTATACTGCACGCTAAATTTTAAGATAAGTTGTAAATGCTGATGTTTGCTTGGCACGCAAAAGGTCGCTGGTTCAACTCCAGCTGGACACACAAGGCCCTTTGGGGTTGCGTCAGAAAAGGCATCTGAGGTAAAACTCAAAACAAGCATATGGAGCTACCTGCTGTAGTGACCACTTGTGACAAGGGAGCAGATAAAAGTCACTTCCTTTATCATAACAATACAGACTGTGGCGGTACCTTTCTAACCTTTTCAACCATTGTAGAGGTGGAGGGGGGAATTCTTTTTAAGTTGAAATTTTTTTTATTATTCACTGTCACTGAAGTCACTACTTCTGAATTATGCAGCAAATGAAAGCCACTTATCTGTGGTTTCAATGAGAACGAAACAGTAGCACAGCCAGGACTTTGTACAAATACTTCCTGTGTATTTAAAGAACAACTGACCAAGCAATACTTCTCATATCTCTTTACCTAGGACTACTCAGCTATACAAACTATATGAGCTGAATGAGCTATTCTAATCAATCACATAAACGTGCAAAGCCATATTTATCATGCTTGTCATCCCCTCCCCCAGAGTTTAGCTTTAGTAGTTTTAACAGGGTTTTGCTTCCTGAGGTTGAAAAACAAAACAGAGTATGCAAAGGTCAGCTAAGGAGCTGACACTTGTCAAAGCCTGACTGACAGCCTGCGAGGCCCTCTGATCTGGTGAAAGAGTGAGGCGTCAGCCATAGAACATAAACAAGCCTGCAGTGGAATAATGCTGAAGCATCACCGAAGCAGACTTTAAACATCTGCTCAGATGTCTTCAAATAGCTTGTTTATTCTACATCCACCTGCTTTACACTACTTGACAGTGATAGTCTGTTGAACTGTGCTCTTTACTGTATGTCAAAGTTCAAAGTCAGTTACAGAGGAGCAGCACAATTTCTTAAATGGATCTAGTGTAGGGTACAGCACATGTGGGTGGGCAATATTATCGAGAGTCCGAACAGTAGACCTCCAGCTCAAGGGTAATCTGCATTTTTGTTAGATTATCCTGGAAACAGATCTGAAAAAATATGCAAGTAATACTTACATAATGATTTCCAAATTCACTAAACACATGACACAGTCCTCCTTAAGCTCCTAATATCGAGCATCTCACCTGTAATAGGTGCCTCCACCTCCAGCATGCACTTCTCTTGACGGAGGATGTTGGCGCCGTCATTGATGATCTTGAGAGCCACGTCCTCTTCCACGCGGCCCTCCTTGACGAGGTGGTTGCGTAGCAGCTCAGCATTGGGCTTGCCATCTTCATACAGCTCTTTTATAGTCAGCTTATGTTGTGGAGGGTATGGCACAGCTGTTGATTAACAAAAACAAAAAAATCATTATGATAGTCATATTTGAGCGTAGGTTGGCAGCTGCATGACAACTGAAGGGGAGCAATGCCGTCACAGGGGAGTGAGACAATCTGTGCCAAAATTCAAACTTCTGCCTGGATTCATGACTCAGACAATTTAGAAAAATGCAAGCATGATGATGCTCATTATTTATCAATTATTATATTTGCTTGTTCTTAGCCATCCAAGATGACATCATTATGGTTCACCAATAAACATCAACAAATCCTCGATCATTCGAGAAAAACCTTCCATGGTAGGGGTGGGACCAAATCTCGATATTGTCACGGGATGTGGGGTTTCCTCCTAAATTATGATAAAAAGCTAAAAAGCTGTCAAAGTCAAGCTTATAAGGGCATCGACAGTAACTAAGTTGCTGGCAACATATTCATTCGTGTTTATATAACGAATGCTGCCAAAATTGCTGCATTAAGATTATTGGCCCAGTTCATCTAAAAATCTGAAAATGTATTTGTCTAAACATCAAAAAAAAAAAAAAACACTGCATCCTTAAGATGAAGTGCATTTGTGGAATTTTTACACTGATAGTGCGCATTAATTAGCATTAAGGGCGTAACCAGTGTGAAGCAAAGCAATCTGTAATGGTGTAATCTGGTTCCACTACAGCACCAGCACAGAGCTGTTAATGTCCACTTCAGACATACTAGTCTGGTAGTAATGTTGCAATATTCAAAGATTGTCCAGAAAATCAAGTGAAGTGGAAATAGATCATGATAAGAAGTATGTTTGGATTTCTTGGTAATGATCAAGATTCCAGTCAAAAATCATTTTTCCCTTTTTTGGTTTTAAATCTCCAAGTTTTTCTTTTCCAAAGAAAAACTCCAGCATGATGCAAAGTCTGAAGGCCTGATTCTCCAGAAGAAACCACCATCACCAATTAAGGATAAACTGATTTTCACCATTTGTGAGCAGCCGCAGATTATGATTCAATCTTATTTTTATATGGAGAGAAAAAAAGGAGACGGCTTGGAGAAAAAAGAAATCATAGGACTTATTTACTATATTTGCAAAACACCAAAAATACTCTCAATGTTCATTATTGCATTCAATTAATTATTAATTACAATAGAAGAGAATAGAATAGCCCTTTATTGTAATTGTATATGTACAACAAAATTGTGGGTGCACCAAACTAACTATGCCAGAATAGAATATAACTATGACCAAGTATGACTAAATAACAAACAGGAGAAATATGGATAAACAAGAGCAATATATACACAAACAATAGAAAGGCACAATTAGAGAACAAGTTGCAAAGTGAAAAGAGCAGACTTGATCTCAATAGAGTCCGTGTGTGAGTGGCCTGAGTGATGAGAGTTACTGGTGAGTGGGCAGGGTGGGGTGTGGGGGGCAGTGTTTTTTAACAGTCCGAATGGCCCAGGGGAAGAAGCTGTTTGTGAGTCTGGAGGTGTGGGACTGATCAGATGGGCAGCATATCAAACAGCTGGTGTGCGTTAGTTCTGTTGATGTAGTTTCATAGCAGTTTTATTAGAGTTTTCACCATTTCAATAATATAGAAACAAATACAATAACGCTACCCTGATTAGTACTTGGTGACAGCGGGGAGGAAAACCTCCCTTTGAAAAGGAAGAATGCATCAGAAGAATAAGACTGTGTGGTCCCAGCAGTCCACCCTTGGATCAAAATGTTAATTTAGAAGTAGTATTGATACATAAGGACAGATTACCCCAGAAGTAACACAAAAGAAAAAAGCAGTAAAGAAAAAAAAAACCCCAAAAACATTATGGATCTCAGCCTGCATTCACTTCAGCTGAAGTCATGAGGTGTGACATTTTCCTTGACTGAGCCAAGACGAAGTTACTTGCACAGAAGCAGCGACGCATACACCTACATGATGACTCCATGTAAGAGACAAACAACAAGAAGCCCTGCACCTCACTTAACCCC